GAGCAGGGAGCCCGATGCGGGGCTCGATCCCAGGACCCTGGGATCATGACCTGAGCCGAAGGCAGACGCTTAACGACTGAGCCACCCAGGCGCCCCACTGAGGTATTTTTATAACTTCCACATAAAAAAATTCTACACTTTACTGTCATTGTATGGGCAAAATATCACAGGCTATGTTTTATGGTCATGTGTTAGTAATTTTAGGAATCTAGCTCCTTAAAAGAAAAGGGGGGAAAAAAGAAAAATGTGTATCTATTTATCTAATTCAATATCTTTTTGATAGTAATTCAAATTTGATAATACTATACTAATACTAACTAATAATTATTAGAACTTATTGTATACTTTTTCTGTCATTCATTTCTAATATTTACATGTATTAATTCAATTGATGTCCATGGGAACTCTTGGTAGAGGTGATATTGTTGTTTTTTGCAAATGAGAAAATTAAAGCCCAATGCAGTTATGTAACTTGTTCGATGTCACAGGAAGTTTGGTACCACAGCCAGGCTTCATAATCACTGTGCTACTCCCATGACATTTTCAGATTCTTGGCTAGATATAGAACTGCTTGAAGAATATAAGGACAAACATTCTGAACTGATATGCCCAGGAAATAGGTTAAATTTGTGACTTCTCTATCTTTACATATGGGATATGGCCCAAGAGTTCACAGAATATAGTTCATGGCTTTCTATAAGAATTCTTATCATTTCAGGTTTTGGTTTAAGTCACACCACAGCCTATGAGAATTTCTAGAAGTGTATTTGTGATTCAACATCTAAAATTTAGAAATATTTCATCATTGAAACAGTAAGTTATGAAAGCAAACTCCTTTGTACAGTTTGTCACTCTCTTAAGATCATAATCTCAAGAACAAAGAAATACTGAACCATTTGAATGGGAAAGGTGTAAATTGTACAAAGGAGCATTTTGGCTGGAAAGAAAGTTGAATTTGCTATATTGATTATTGATTTTTTTAATTGTCGTGGTGCATTCGTTGTCTTCTGAGTTCAGCTATACAGGCACAGATTTTACACATAATGTAGAAGTTAAGTGAGCATGAGTCAGTGATCATTGAGATACTGAAAATCTAAACATTCAGGTCGTCTGAATATTTATGGTTTACTTTTTCATATATACATAGGTAGACTGTCATTTAAACAACATAGCCTTCTGAATGAGGTATGATGGGCAAAGAGTAGATTTTTTTTCAAGTAATTTCTAGAAAAAGACATCAAACTAGTTAGAATTATGTTGAGAAAGTAAGGTAAATATTTAAAGTAGAAAATACCAATCCTAAAATGATAAATGTATTGATTACAACCATAAAATAGAAGAGAAGCTAAGAAGACATCACACTGCCATTACTTTTGTTTTTTGTTGTTGTTGTTGTTCAACCTGCTCATTTGCTATATTTTGCTATATTTTTTTGGCTGATCTATTTTAGTTTTGAGCTGATGATAGCCAGTGATAAAACTGAGTTGAGATTCTTACAAAATGTGAATAATTTTTCAATAAAATAGTATCATAAACTTAACGTTGCATTTATTGATTTATGTTTTACTTCAGTATAGAGGCAATAAATAAAAATAACCACGAGCATAATTCTATTTTATTTATTTTATTTTATTATGTTATGTTAGTCACCATACATTACATCATTAGTGTTTGATGTAGTGATCCATGATTCATTGTTTGCATATAACACCCAGTGCTCCATTCAGTACGTGCCCTCTTAAATACCCATCACCAGGCTAACCCATCCCCCCACCTCCCCTCTAGAACCCTCAGTTTGTTCCTCCGAGTCCATAGTCTCTCATGGTTCATCTCCCCCTCCGATTTCCCGCCCTTCATTTTTCCCTTCCTGCTATCTTCTTCTTCTTTTTTATTTTAGCATATAATGTATTATTTGTTTCAGAGGTACAGGTCTGTGATTCAACAGTTTTATAAAATTCACAGCGCTCACCATAGCACATACCCTCCCCAATGTCTATCCATAATTCTCTTTTAAAATTAATTTATTATTGTAGGAAGGAAAATATATCTTAACTTTTTTGGTAAATATTTCTATAAAATAGTTTTCATTAAAATAATAGAATCATGGAACCAAAATCCTCTATTTTTACTGTGCTGTTCACTATTTCAGAGCTTCGAGAAACCAAGACCTCTGAATACTTCAGCCTGTCCCACCACCCTTTAGACTACAGGATATTATTAATGGATGAAGATCAGGACCGGATATATGTGGGCAGCAAAGATCACATTCTTTCCTTGAATATTAACAATATAAGTCAAGAACCTTTGAGTGTAAGTTTGTCATTTCTATGAGGGCCATGTTGACTTTGTTAGGTTCCTTTTCCTTTAAACATTTCAAATATAATGAAAATATTGTGTATTCCATTAGAACTATAGAAAATACAGGCCACATGTCAATAAATAATTAGACGTTCATACTTACCTCATGGACTGAAAATATAATCAATTCAGTTCTCACTGTCTGGCTTCATAGATTTTAACACTTCAAAATCTGAAACTAAATGAGAAAATACTTCCTGTGTTTGTGTTTGCATACGAGTGTGTGTGTGTGTGTGTGTGTGTGTGTGTATACAGAGAGATAGACAGACAGAAAGAAGCATACAGTATAGCCTGAAAAAAAATGATCAGACTAAAGGAAAATCTACCTTGTCATCTGTATGTAATCCAAGAAGGCCTAAAAGGAACAGTTAAGTGCACTGTTCTGTGAACAGGTATGACCTATATTTATCTTCTATTTCACAAGAAGGACATAAATTGATCTTCATTGGAGTAAAGAAGTAAAAGTAAATTATAAGTTTAACATAACAAGAATTCTGAATTTATTATTTTAACAAGGGTCAATGGCTGACAATTAAAAAGAAAATAATCATCACTGTCAGACTTGACCCAAGGCTACAGTGACTTAGAACACTAGCTGAGTATTTGAGAGAGGGAATCTCTTGGATTCAATCCAAGTTATTTTAGCTGTTGAAGTACCTAGGGGCCTGTTTTAAGTAAATCTACCAGCCTGGCTCTGTGGTTTACCAAAAACAACATTAAACCAAAATAGTAATATAAATGTAAATTCATTGTGATGTAAGCAGTTGAGAAAAATATAGTAGAAAAGGAGGGAAATATACATTTTATTGTACACATGAATGACCTTATTTTAATACTATGTCATTAGGAAATGGGCACATGTTATTGAAAGACTTTTGTTAAAGGAAAAATTGATGGGAGAAATAAAAACAATTATTAGAATAAAATAATAAAATTTTTATGAATTTAAGTTTATAAATTTAAGTTTATAAACTGAAAGAAAACTCTTGAAATATAAATATAGAAATGCCTTAAAGAAATGTGTTAGCATAAAGTAAATGAAGAGCACTGAGTTTCATACGTAAAAGTGAGATTATGCAACCTTTATTTTCCTTTCTGAGCAGGTTTTCTGGCCGGCATCTGCAATCAAAGTCGAAGAGTGCAAGATGGCTGGCAAAGATCCCACAGTGAGTGCCTAAAAAAACTCCAAAACTTAAATATTTAGTCTTTGAATCCATGTACTTCGAGTGCAGCCAAGAGTGAGACAAAGGGTGTTGGTATTTTAAATCTTCGGCAGGACACATGGTAAAAAATGTAAATGCAAAGAAATTGGAACTCTTAAACACTGTAACTTAGGAATTCCTGACTGGGTAAAAATTTCTTGCCTTGCTTTCATTATTGCATTCTGACACATTTCGTGATGGATTTCAGTAATAACCCCTGTTCCAGTGGATCCAACCTGTAGAATTCTCAGCAGGCCACTGAAATAATGATAATGCAAGTGTCTGGAGAAGCTCCCAGATACCATGTGGGCTTTTCCAAAGAAAGATCTCGGCAAAAGGGTACTGGTGAGCCAGCACATTCCAGAGGCTTAAATCACCAATGATTACTGGTATCTTTGTTAGTTAAAAATAACCATGGAAACAAAAATCAAGACAGACATGAATATCAATAAATGTTCAGTGTGCAACATTTGTACAAATTGTATATCTTTAGGCAGAATTCCATGTAAAGAGTTAAGAAAGAAATCTATATGGATTTCTGCAAACAACTTGCTGAAACTGACACATTCAATTATTCTCGAATATTATAAAACAAATACATGGACCCGGTCTTTTATGTACAGGTTATTTAATTTTATAATGAAGCATGTATGTCATTTTACCTTCTTGTCTCAAAATGCAAAAAATATAATGGACCCGTATATCAGAATTACCCATTCTTACACAAATGATTTGGTAAAGGTTTTTTTTTATGGATTTATTTACTTTTTCAGTCATTCATTCCAATACAGATTGAGCCCCTATTATGTGTCTGGCATAGTGTTTATTGTTACAGACATAATGTATACTAAAATAGACAGTCTGACTTTCCTCAACTTTATTATCTTGCTGGAGAAGTCAACATTGATCAAATGAGCATGGAAGTATGTGCTTATGCAGGTATGAAGTTGAAATATGGTGGCTGGGTAGAAAAACTAGTATTTGTACACACACATACACACAATCAGCTCTGAGGTCATAAGAAATAACAGCTTTGACTTCGTGTAAAAAATGTTGACTAAGGGCGCCTGGGTGGCTCAGTCGGTTAAGCGACTGCCTTCGGCTCAGGTCATGATCCTGGAGTCCCGGGATCGAGTCCCGCGTCGGGCTCCCTGCTCAGCGGGGAGTCTGCTTCTCCCTCTGACCTTCCCCCCTCTCATGCTCTCTCTCTATCTCATTCTCTCTCAAATAAATAAATAAAATTTAAAAAAAAAAATGTTGACTAAGCACTCATTGTAAGTGTAGAGGTAAGAAATGCTGTCTTCAGGGTCCAAGGCTATGCACTGAGCTTTGATAGTGAGGGTCTCAGAGATTCATCACAGTGGTTCAAGGAAAAGAATGATCCTTGTGAAAAGAGGAAGTGTGGAAATTAAACTTTCATTTTCATTGACTCTTAACCATCCAGGTATGAGGTTCTGAAAAGGTCTGGTGTGAGACAGGGCCATGGAAGACTCTGGGTCTCACTGGAGGGTGTTGTTGAGAGGTCACCAGGAGTGACTCAGTTCTGGGTCTCATGTTTTCAGTTTTAGAATTCACCTTTTAAGAGAAATTTTCAAATGGGCAGAAGGAGCTTTCAGAGGCATATTTGCTCCCCATGGGATCTGCTGGGCCGTAGTGTATAGGAAAAAATCCAGAAAAATGTGTAAGAAACACTCAATAGAATACATTATGCTTGTCTTCTAGGGAACAAATAGTAGAAAGTATAATGGTGTGGAGAAGTCTTTTTTTTGTCCAATGAAGCTATTATTTCAATAATTGTGCATGAATTTGATTGTTTTCTTTCATTCTCTAATGTAGAGATTTGGCCCGCTGATGTGTATCCTACCATGTCTTGCCTTTTGCCACAATAATATCCTGTGGCTGTAATTACTGGATTTAGTTGTCCTCTTTGTTCAAAAGATTTTCATTTCCCATTCATATGAAGCATCACAGACAGAATATGTAGGATTTAGATACCATTGCACATTCTCTTTTCAAAGATTGGTGTTGATTTTCTGAAGAATCTTAGCCAAGTAATTTGATGTCTTTCTCCCTTTGGCAAAATAGAAATGCTCTGTCATTTGCTTTCTTATAATTAAGAGTCATTAGATGAAATCTTTAATACATGCTTACATTTTCCCATAGTTTTATCATGCTGTAATATCATTCATGGATATCTTTAAATTCTGCTATGTAGCCAGTTAGTATACATAACAGAAGTAACTGGTGGAGGGTTCTGTTCTAATATGGCCAACATTGTTGGGTCCTGGGAAATAATCAAACTAACTCTTTCAAATACATGTTCTGTCTATGCAAGAGAAGAGAATGTTTGACAAATCCAGCTCATTTCGTACATGTGAAGAAGTACTTAGAGAGAAGTGTCCTTTAATCAGGCCACAAGAAAAAGACCAGTGGTAGGAAAAGAAGGCAAAATAGTCTTTAGAAATTCTACGGAACAACATATTTTTATTACATGCTTTAATGAAATTAAATAGTTAATCATCTCTTAATTCTGTTAGAAGAAATATCTAATACTCAATATTTTATTTAAAAACACTGGAATTTTAATTTGTGCAAATCAGTTACCTATTATGAAGGAACCAAAGGTGAAGAAGATGGAGTCTCTATCTTTAAGAGTCTTTACAAGATACTAGAGATGATGAGACATATATGCAGTAACTACCAAATAGTAATAGCCAACATTTAATGGAATGGGCCAGGCACCGTTCTAAGTCTTTCTTTTAATCCTCAAAATAGCGCTACAAGATGGACAGTATTGTCACCATTCACATTTTTAAGATAAAAAACAATCACTAAGAGTGAGGAACTTACCACAGCTGCCCTGCTAGCAAGTGGGAGGGGGCCCACTCTCTGTCTTACCTGATAAAACATGCCATCTCACTAGGAAGAATTCGGTAAATGCTAAGGATACCCACAAAAGACAAAGAAAAACACGCTGCAGCTGGGATATTTAAGAAAGTTTTGATAGATTTGTTGGCAACTACATTAGGTCTATGTTAATCTTTTTCTTTATTTTATTTCAATGATACTGAAATTGAAATAAGTTATACCCTTTTCCTCTTTCAGCCTTTGACCCCAAGTACATGTGACTCCCTTCTTATTCAATCATCTTCCCATCTTTTTAACCTGGGAGTCACCTACTTACCTTCTCAAGTAACAGTGCAGATGTCACTTCTCTGTAAAGTCTCATCTGCCCACCCGGGGCTAGGCTGGCTGTCCCTCCGTGTACACTGGAAACACGGGCACATGTTGTACTGTGTTTGTAACTATAAGTCTCCCCTTACTGATTGGAAATACTGGGTAGTGTCGTTATTCTCTGTGCTCAGATCCATATCAAGTTAAACAAGATCTGAAAAAATTCAAACCAAGCATGGGAATCTGTTCCAAGTAATCGTCAGAAGTTGGGGGTAGGACGCAGTGGATGGTGAGTTTATTGATGCCTTTAAATTAATAGTATTTTTAGTAAATTCATTTTGCACATATTTTAGAATTTCATTTTGATTAAATTAAAATATTTTGATGTTAAATATTATATTAATCATCTACTTAAGCAAAACATAAGCTAGTGACAATTAAAATCCATACTGCTGTAGCAACTGAAAGAAAATACACAGCATGGACTCAAGCATCTCTTATTCCTTTAGATTTTTTTAATGTACCAAATTTTAATTAGAGAAAATAACACTTATTAGAAAATAATTCAAGATAAACTAAAATTTGATCCCAGTAATCATATATCTATTGTAATAAGGTAATGTTTATAAAGAAAATACATTATCATGGTGGGAATATAGCTAATTTTCTGCCTCACTAAAGAGACTGTAACCCACCTCCCATTTCCCATTCTGTCCCGATGTATTCACATTCCTCCATGCTCCATTTATTTCTAAATGTTAGTATTTTATTCATACTCTAAATAAATTGAGCTTACACAGTAGCACATACGCTGTCAAACATATCCAATGAGATAGGGCATAATGAACGCACTAAGTAAATACTGTAAGAGATCGTTGGAAAATTAAGCAGGATTACATATATTTAGACATGTGCATTACATGCACACAATGTCAAACTTTATTAATTGAGGAATATCAGTTTCCCTATTTATGTGACCAAAGGATCCCAAACTACTGGAAAATATATTTTCTTTAGAAATATATTTATCAAAATACCTTGATTTATTGCTCACACCAAAGAAGTGTAGGCCAAGAAGAAAAGAATAAGAGGGACTTTTTTCCCCATTGCATAGTCTGGGCCATGAAGAGTCAATATTTTTAAAGCCTTATGCATCTGTGCTCCAGGACATATTTTCAAAAACATCTATGTTAAAAATTACATAACAAATACATGTTCAATACAGAAATCTTTGAAGACCTAGAAGAGCATGTAAAAAGCAACAGAAAACAATATCTTCTGAGCTCTTTCACCCTAGAGACTTAACCTCTCTGTGCTTCAATTTCCTTGTCTGCATAATGGGCAGTCTCATAGTACGTACCTTATTGGGTTGTTATGAGGATTAATGAGTTAATATTTGATGAGAGCTTAGTACAGTACATAGCACATGGTAAGTGGTATATTACTATTAAGTAAATAAAATAAATTCCACTACTCAAAGTAATCACTTAAAAATTGGGTGTATATTTTTGCAGCACTTTATTGTTTGAAATTTATAGGAATATAAATAAAATGGTATTATATTCTGCATAATGTTAACAGCATGATTTTTCATTTAGCATTGTACCAGGAAGCAGTTTTAAAAAAGGACTAAGCAATTAAAAAAAAAAAAAATCCACAGTTTTAAACTTCACTGAAGGCTCATTCTCCAAACCTTTCATAGATGTCTGCTATGGTCAGGACCTGTACTAAGCTCTGTTCAGGAAAAATGCCCTGTCCACTTCATCAGACTTTTTCTGACCACTGAAATA